GGGTTGACAAGCATGGGAGCAATGGATGGGAAATGCGTTTATTGATGAGACTATTTTGTTTAACTGTGTCAAGTTAACTTAACGAGATGCCTCATGGTTAGTTTGTTTAATTAATTTGCGATTGGATTTCACTTTCTTTTTGATTTGTTAGAGGAATGACATGTTTTCTTGGGTTATTCAACAATTTTCAGGAGGAGCAGTTGCTGGAAGGCAGCATCCCAAGATATGCGTGATGAGCGCAAGTGCATGGTTGACGTAGGTTTGCAAAGAAAGTGTTTTCAGCATCAGGATGCTACATTGTTCATAGAAGGTAAATGCATAGTAGTAAAGGCAGCTAAAAGTCTTAAAGTCTTATTACATGAACATTGTACTTAGGTCACAAGCAGGTGATCATCCACAACATAAGATCGATTAAAGTCGGCAATACACAACATAAGTAGGCTAAAAGTCTTGCTAGGGAAATTCAGTACATGAAGGATAAAATATGATAGGAGCCATAGTACGCGTAGCGCGTCGTAAAGACCGACATCCTAAGGGGGAGCCAAACCAAGGATGATGTGCGTACATAGCTTGTCTCGTTCATGATCTTTTTGCAATAGATTAAGGGTGGCTTCTACTTGTACCGCGATTCAAACTCCCGCATTTTTAAGCATGGCTGGAACCATACACGGTGGAGCATTTTTCGTTCCCCTTCATGTGGAGAACCTCGTATGCCATCTGCATCTTCATGTATCCAATTAAAGCTTGTAGACAGCAACCGTTGTGGGTTAGCATTTTTATGTGGGTGTTTCATATGTTCTGCTATAGAGTGGAAAGGTTAGCAAGCTTACCGGGGTTGGCATTATTTGCAGCCTGCACCCATCATACTCCTTGATGTAGTGCAGGACATAGAAGCCACTCTCAGAACTGTCAGGTTTTTCAGTCACATAATCATTAGTTAGGGCAAGACAAGTATGTGTGCAAATCTGAATAGCATAACTGGTGTTGGGTTAATTTACGAACTGCAGTTGGCATGCATGCCGTATGTATACTTGTAAGTCCAGGGAATTGTAGGGAAATACCAGTCTGGATAACATGCATTGAGGCATTTGAAGAGGCATCGGGTGACGCACTTGCTTGTTTCTTTGTGCTTCTGTTCAAGTGAACCTGGTGGGGAGGTTGTAAGCATGGGATCCATTACGCGTAGAGTTCTTGCAGCAATGTCTATCTCATAAATACACCACCCTTTTGCGATCTCAAGTATAACGAAAAACTGGGAGTTCGAGACAAGTGGCAAAAAAATTAAATGTTGTTAGTATTCGTGGCATCATCTTGGGAAGGCGTCATAAACAATTACTGAATATTTACCATAGTGGGATGTTGGTTACTTACTTTTGTGCATTCCTCTAGTTTGTAATCATGGTTTTCTTTCTTGAACATCCAGTGCACACGCTGCAATTCATCTTCTTTGCTGCTGACAATGGCTATGTCCTGAAGAAATCATGAGTGCAAGGATGACAGTCAGAACCACAGAAAGTCTGGTAACTCACGACGGAATAAAGTAAGTAATGAAGCAGTTGTTAATAGGTTATTGATCTTTTATACCGCAAAGCTTGGGTCAAAGATTGCCCTATAGTGCGGACTTCCTCCTGGGTATAGCTTGTTGTCCTTCATGTTGAAAACTCGGACTGGTGCTGACATGCCATCTCTTTTAAGACCATGTCCCGCACCAAAGTTCCTTATCATCGCATGCCCGTTCATCTCTATCAAGTAGGGATGATCGAGGGTAACATATTTCCTGTAAAAACAAGACATATTTCAGTCACTTCATGATGCCATTCTATATTGTTGTGCAATAATTACATGCTTTTTATTCCACGAGGTTTTTGTTGGATACGTGGGTTAGAATACAGAACCTGCGTAGCTCATGGGATTTTCATTTCTGTATTGTATCATATGTTGTGTAGACGTCAGAGACATCAGGCTCATCTACTGATAACCTTTGAAATGGTGCACGAGCAGGTTTGTGGGTTTTCTCTGAGGGTGATCCGTCGGCTGCACTCCACAAAACTTGCAAATTGTCAGGTATAGATGGGTCATCAGTATATGCATTTTTCTTGAGAATTTCATAGAGATGCAATGCACGAGTTTTTCTGAAGGTAGATCAGTGATTTTGTCTCAAGGTACGACAATGGGGTAGGTAGTTGCTGAACAAACCTTCAGATGTTGGAGGCAGCCGCGTGCTAGAAGATGAAAATATGCTTCTGTTGATCTTATGTGCAAAACGGTCTATGCTGCTATCATAGCTACCTGATGCAACTGTACATTTATCACCAAGTTGGTCAGCAATACTTCACTTTTATGATTTGTTTGGTACTACTAGAGTATGATGTACATTTTTTACGGATTACCTGCTGCTAGGAGGTCCATGCCTGATGAGCTGCCACCCAGAGCATATGTTGGACTTGAATCCCATTTTGGCGCAGCGAGTGTGTTGGAAGTCCGATAATCTATAAGGCAGGTACCAAAATCAAGGATGTTATAAATAGGCGACGACATGTCTTTGAGGGTGTAGCAGATATCAAGCTGCTCTGCCCTACCTGAATGTGTGAGGATCATTTCATCAACAGTGCTGCTTGTCTTGTGTCCATAACTTGACTCCATGGATGCCACATGCATACCGAGAGCACTAGAGTACAATACATTGTCACCTAGTCATCCAACCGAATTGGACAGTAAGGGCACATTTTTATGTAGGCGAGATAACCGATTTTGCTGTATAGATCAGCTAGCAGGAGACATATGATATGTG